AACTCGCGACACGAGGCGCGACACGGTTAGGCGAGGCGAGGCGCGATCGCGAACGACGGGATCAGCGGAGGCTGGGTCCACCCTGGAAAATGACTGCCGGTCGACGGCTGGTGCGCGTTCTCTGCGTGCTGCTCTGCCTGTCGTTGCGGCCGGACTACGCGTATTCCACTCATATCACCGGCACGTTCAACACGCGAGAGTTTTTCCGGTTCCTCATCAAGTTCGGCTTCCAGAAGACCGACCGTCATCGGCAAAAGGACTCGTATGGTTACATTTTCGGCAATGTGACCGCGAGAACGGACTTCGACGTGCCGATCACCTTAGCGATACTCGACCGTGGCCACTTCCTCGAGTATTACGGCAATCGTACGCTGACTGACAAGAGTGCAGCGTGCGCCTATATGTTTAACACTTTAAAGAAGAGTTCCTACGATCCAGACTGCAACGAGGAAGGTCAAGACTTTCTGAGGTATATTTCGACGTTTCAATCTATTACATTATTGATGCTTTCCAGCAAGAGACAGATGACATAGACTGTATTTCATTAGGTGTTCACAAGTCTTATGAGCATCATTCATCCTTATTTGACATTAGATAAACAATAAGGATGAAATGAGCAATAAAGATAAAAAAACAAAAACAATAAGGACGAAATCCAAGAGCATTATGAGCATCATATTGAATACAGTCATAATAATACGGAGAATCATTACGTCCTTGTTGTTCGTCATCGTTAAATAAACATAATCACTATGTTATGTTGTATCTCTTGCTGGAAATCAATATCTGTTATCTCCATTTCTTGTGTTGGAAAGCATCCCATATACTCGTACGAGTAACTAATGTTAACTTTGCATTTTGAAGACGAGTCCCTTGTCCTCGAGACAAATTATGCCCAGACGAGGATTCTGTATGGAATATCGTGAAGGGACATCAGTTTACATACGTTATACAGGACTTCTGGCAACCACGATTTTGGTACATGAGCTTGGTGGCGTGTTATAGGAACAAAACAACTTGCCAATGGGAATATTATAGCAGGCACGACGAATTGGAATATGACATCTGGCTAGTAAACGGCAATCCAAACGTCAGTGGCCTAAACAGTCTGACTTATCAGTTCTCATATGACAGACAGAATACCATCGAACTATACTTGCTGTTTTTTGTGTGTTACATCATATTGGTGCCACTGCAGTTGTATGCAGTAAGATTGCAAAAGCATCCTGTAACAAGATTGTTCACTGCAAGTTTATTATTAGAATTTGTGGCAGTATGTTTAATCTTGATACACGTGTTGAAATTTGCACTAGACGGAGTAGGTTATGAGCAATTAGAAGTTGCCGGTGATATTTTTGATATTCTCTCACGGGTAAGGAAAACATCTCGTGAATATCAAATATTATTAAACTCATTAAATTCAAGTAATCTAATGTATTCTATACAATATAGCCATACTTATTAATCTTTTTAAATTTATTTAAAAATGTATATTTTGTTTAGTATATAGTATGTACATACAGGGCTTCACACCATCAAATATATTAATAACATAATCTGATAGATTAAAAAATTCTAATACGAAAATGTTGAAGTCATAATTATTATAATGATATTTTAATTATAATCCATCACAAAGATAATTATTAATATTGCTTATTATTCGTGCGATAAGAGCTATAAATCAGTATTCATAGTTGATATTTATATTTAGGACTGTCTTAAGTACAATTTCAAGATTTCATAAGCTAATGCCGGTATTTATATTCATAGTCGGTTCTTATTTTAAGACCATCTTAAGTTATGTCTTGAGATGCTAATACAGCTTTGTGATTGATTCAAGATGGTCTTAAAGATAAGTATCGACTATGAATACTTTTTGGTGTTATTTTCACGAAATTTTAATGTTAAGTTACTTTTATTTCTAGACGTCCTTTATGTTATTGTTACTCTTACTTGCCAAAGGATGGGCAGTAACAAGAATGGAATTAACATGGAAGCCACTGGTGTTTGCAATATGGTTTTGTTATGGGGTTGTGCACATTTTGTTATATGTATGGAATATGGTAACTATTTTCCCTATTTATATATCTCGTTTATAAATTGCAGTAAGTGTAAACTCTTTTTATTATGAATTAATTTTTTCAGACAGAAGTTGATATTATTGAAGACATAGATGAATATCAAACTTGGCCAGGATGGTTTATATTGTTATTCCGAAGTGCCATAATGGTATGGTTTCTATATGAACTTCGAAACACCATGACATACGAGCATAATACTCAAAAATTGAACTTTCTTCTTCACTTTGGTGCATCGTCATTAGTTTGGTTTATATATTTACCCATTATAGCACTTATAGCGCTTCAAATAAGCGCACTATGGAGGTTTAAGCTGTTGTTAGGTGAGTAAAGTTTGTAAAATGTTAAAATTAATTTTCTTCAGCTATATTTCGTATTTAACGCATTGTCAATTTATAGGTATAACATATTCGGCAGACTGTTTTGCTTATTGTGTAATGGCTCATTTATTATGGCCCACCAGAAGTGAACAATATTTTTTACTCGCGCAAGGCGCGGATAATGGTGATGAACTTGATGAATTCAACGAAGCGCCGCATGTATTAAATAATTATGTAGAACCGTCAGAACTCGGTAAAATAATTACTTAATATTCGTCCATTGCAAGTATAAATATTAAATTGATGACATTTTTAATTACAAGTGATGTGATGTACATTTGCCAAACGTCAATCTAGTAGTACTCTAATATGTGCTACAGAACTGAAATATTGTGCACATCCTATAATTAGGAATATATCAAATTTGTCAAATCTGGCCATGTGATATGAAATTAATAGATACAACAGAAATAAATGAGTATGATATGAGTATATGCTATAAACAGACATAAATTTCAATTTAATATATAAATTAATAATTGGCAGTATTAATTATATCGGCAATTTTATATCTACAAGTCACATACCACGTATAATTATTAAGTATCTTTATCCATTCGAGGAATAGTATATATCTTTATAACATTAGTACATATATTCTTACATATTCAGACAATTACTTGTATGATTATGCACTAGTATACAAACAAAAATAATTATATATATATATATATATACGTGTAAAAAATCTTTTAACAAAGTATACATTTTTTACGCTATTGTTTAATTTCATTATATCTTGTAATTATTCCACGTTTACTCTATACTAAGAATATTACAATGTGCACTTGAATAAGAATGGTAGAAATGAAATATTTATATAACTTTCGTAACATATAATTTGATTCTAGTTGAATGGTTTAAAAATTGTGTATGCGATAATTGTATACATAAAAGTCATACTGATTTATACATATTAATAGTAGATTTATCAAGAATTAATGTTCCAAAATTATCCGACATATTTTAACTATAAATTTTTTTATCATTTTTTATATTAGGATGCCAATAGCTTTTGAATAATTAGCGATTAAAAAAAAAACAATTAAAATTTTCGGTTAAATTTAATCGAATTTTAGTAAAAAATTTGAAAGTTTGTTAAAAAGAGTATTAGAAATTAAAAGGATCCATTAATTAATGAACTTTTATAATAGCTAAGAAAAAATAATTTATAAATTGAATAAAGAAGTTATGATTTAAAAAAACAATATTTTTGGTGTGTTTTATATGAGAACATTTTCATATCTTGTTCTAAATTTTATAAAAAGATTTGATCTTTCAAAGTATGTAATTTAAACTATCATCATTAATTCAGTTTTGTTATTAAATACGCAATGTACAAATAGTGATCACATACACAAACGTGGAAAATAAAAGAGCACCTATATAACATTCTTCCGATTTTATTCAAGTAAGTTAACATGTTATTTGCACATTGTTGAATAAGTATAAGTACTTTATACAGAAAATTGAAATATGATCTGATATGCGAGTTTACGCTGTAAGCACGCATTTTCCTGTCGTATTATTATTGCTCAATCTTGTAAGAACTTAGATAATATGATTGTCTATGTATAATCTCTTGAGAATATTTTAATGATCCGTATATGTATATTTTATGGGATCTCTTGAGAATATTTTAATGATCCATATATGTATATTTTATGGGATCGGTAAAATCTTTATGATACATTTATATTTTTAATATCCACTACAGTGAAAGCAATTTAATACAATCTACTTTTTATTTCTTTATAGTATTATCTATGTTCAAATTATATGTTAAGTTTACTTTTTTGAAGAGCACATTTAGACATGTTATACAAATTATGCTTCTATGAATGCCAGTGTGTCTAATATGTATATATATGTATATACAATTTATTTCCAAAAGTTGTGTGTCTTCAAATATGTGTTTTGAGATGCTTTTTGTAGATATATGGAGGAGTTAGTATTATAGCAAATATTTTAGTATAATGAAATTGTTATATCATGTCTCATTACAGCCCAACAAGCAGGAAAGATATTTTATTTAATTAATCTTTTTGCCAGATTAGGTAATGTATTGTACAACTTGATAATAATAATTGTTTTATATACCTGATTTGACTTTTTTGTATATTTGCAATTGATATGGACCTATTCAATAACAAAAGCAACATTTGATTAAGAAATACAATTTATATTACAGTTAGAAATTATTTCTTTATTATATATATGTACATAGTTCTTTTTTCTTTACATATTATCTACATTATGTACACTATACAGTACCATATAGAACTTAAGGGGAACCTTATTATAATTACATATCTTAAAAGTATAGTTATTTAATTTTGAAATTTTTATTTTATACAGAGAAATGCTTTTCTTAAAATTTTATTTAAAAATTATAACTCTTCACATAAATATAATATTCTTTTAACAGCATCATGAAATTATTAATCTTAGATTGTGAATGAAGTATTTTGATAAAAAATTTGAATCAAATATTTCTTTGAAAAATTTATATAAATTTATAATATTAAATTATGTTTTGATATAACAAAATTATAACAATTTTAATCTTGATGTAAGACTATCGATGGTTTCATTGGAACCAGGACCTATACCAACAACTGTGACTGTACCAGGCTTCAGCTGAGTTATACCAGCATCTTTTATTATGGCAGTAATTAAACCAGCACGTTCAGCTTTACCTGCTAAGATCAATAGCTCTTGCTCGTTTGGTATTTTAACAACAATTTTAGGCTGCCCACATTGTAACCAGGATTCAAACATTAATCGCTTCTTTTCGTTATTGAGGGTTTGGCGACAGCATTCTAAAGCAGCGTGAGCACATTGAGCAGCAGTTTTACCTTTTCCCATAGGTAAATCTGATCGAACCACTATTACCATCTTACAGCTCTCACCATTCCAAATAGGAGGTAAGAAAGATCTTATATATTTACTTATCATTGACTTCATCTTTTTATAATTTTTTTCAATCAAAGCGCTATTAATGTCTTTGTTCTTGTTGCTTTGTGTGTTTATCCATGCATTCTTTAAACTTTTTTACTTCATTTTGACACTTTCTCCAGTCCTGATGTTCCGCTATACATTCCTGGAAAGTTATTTATCAAATCAGTTATTAAATAAAATAAGAATATTATTAACATAATCAAAATTTAACATTTACTTTACAACAATCGATCAGTGGAATTAATTTATATACTTAAAGTTAAAGCTAAAGTTAACTCATAGTTTTGTATCGTTCTTCTAGAACTGAAACTATAGGTAGTTAAACTTTAATTAACACTTATATATCCGTTTCTATCAATGTAGAATAATTTTAATCTTGGTTCAACTAATTTTTTTCTAGGTCTAAGAATTAAAAAAAGATGAAGAGTAAGTTGGACTAAGATTAAAATTAATTATATTGTAAAAATTAATTTGTATTGTAAAAACGAGCATTAGCCAGTTATACTTGAACTTGATAGTGTAATTCTATGCAACCGGTTTTCTTTAACATCCGCTCAACGGGATCTTCAATCTCTTTTTCAGCACCAGTATTCGACGATGCAGTCATTACGATATATCGATGTTTAGATGAAAAGATATTTGAATTATACCGCTAAAACAATTCTTATTATTATTAATAAAACATTGTTTTTAATAATTTCAACGAAATACACACACAGAATATTGTAGAGGTTATAATTACTCCGTGTGCGAGTTATTTTTATCCATCTGCCGGGTCTGCAGATTCGAACAGATTTGAGAGCAATACCGAACAAACCCGAATAAACTAATCTAGAGGTGCGTTCCGTATCGCGCATGATGTGCATGATGCATCCATTGTCCTTGTTTAACATTTGGTGAGCAACAAGGATAAACGATGCATTATGCGCATCATGTGAGAAACGGAACGCACCCTAGATTATATGGAAAATTGAGAAGAATCATGCTCCATTTTAAATATCAACATTCGTGGACACGACTGTAAATTTCTCTAGCAAATAACAGAGTTTTGTTTCATTTCCATATCAAATTAACAAGGCATACTGATAATAGATAATTAAAAAGTCACAAGGTCTGTTCGCGTTGCTCGCACTTTTTGCACTCATAGCGTATTTCACTGGCAGAACCGGTGCGCACTCAGTGCACATTAAAGCTGTTGTACATTAACCTAATCTGACTGTAAAAGTGAGAGATCTCAGTTAATAAAATACCCAATGTATATTTTATCAAATATCACAATAAAATGTATTAAAGATTTCATGGTTTAATTTATGTCTATATTTTTATTAAATGTACATTTTCATGTCGATTTGTGTACAACAGCCTTAAAGTGCACTGAGTGCGCACCAACTCTACCAGTGAAATACGCTATCAGTATCTTCGCTTTCTCTCTTTTCAAAGCCAAATATATATCTATCTCATTTTAAGTGCAAAAATATTTAGAGATTTCATGAAACGCGAACAGACCTATAATTACATGAGTAACGTACGTGATGTTCAACTTCAATGACGATGTGAAGTTATATGCGCATATTGGGAAATCGATCTATTCTAAATATTCGCACATCTGTTAATTATTCGAGACACTTATTACAGTTATTTTAATTATTTATTATTATTATTCATCGAAAATTGATATGCTGAATTACGAAAACATCTCTGATTGTTTTTTGAGCCAAATATTAGGTCTGTTCGCGTTGTATGAAATTTCCAAATATTTTTGCACTTAAAATGAGATAGATATATATTTAGCTTTGAAAAGAGAGAAAGCGAAGATGCCAAGTGCAAAAAGTGCAAGCAACGCAAACGGTTGCGTCATAATGCGCGAATATTTAGACAGAATTAAAGCACGTACTTCTTCCGATACACGTGCAATTTGTATTATTCAGGATGTGGAAAGGATGAATTTTTATTCGAAAAATGTGCCATATTACGCCACACATTAGGGCTGTAAACTTCGATTAATTTAATCGTTGATCCTTGTTAAACGTAGATAGAATTTTGTTAACGTAGATAGAATTATTAATTTTTTTATTTAATATGTAGAAAATAAGAGTGGATTAGGATCATCAACGGATTGTATAGAATTTTTTCTCTAAATAATATCGCTTTATTGAATTAATCGAATTAATTAATACTAGAAATTAAAAAATGCCTATTACGGTCGAAGCTGGATCTTCGTTGCTTAAATAATTCAATCTTGAATTACTAATATATACTATATATGTACTTGCATATATACCGTATTATTGTATTCTTTTTCAATATATAGTATATATTAGTAATTCAAGATTGAATTATTTAACGGAGATCCTACAGCTTTGACCGTAATAGGTATTTTTTAATTTCTAATATTGATTGTGTTTCTCACATATACGGTCTAAAATAAAGATATTGTTTGAATTAATTAAGTTAATTGCAGTTTATTTGAACTTAGATTTATATGAATTTAACTGATATTTAATAAATAAATAAATAAATAAGATTTCCGTGTGAAATTATTTATTTCGTGAATATTATATATGAGGAGTTTTGAAATTAAAAAGTAACAGACATTTAGTTACAATTAAACATATATTTTTAACCATGAAACCTGATCGACGTATCGGCTAAGTTTACGCGAATAGATGCGACGATACGGCGATCGAGACGCCGCCGGCGCTTGACCGTCAGAACTATTCGATTGCGTGAAAGTAAAAACCAACGCGTGTGACGGCTACGAGAGATCACGGAACGGCCAGCCACTCCCGATTTGCGTGATTTTCAGAGGTATTTATCGAAGGAAGGCAAAACGCCTTCGTCATCGCGCGTTCGTTCGAGAGCGGGCCGGGTGTAGCCTCATTTTCGCGCGAACCGTCCGACGATTTCCGACGGCTACAACGCAGCGACGTGCGGCTTTTGCGGCATCCGCGCTATCCTCCGAGGATAGCGCGGCACCGCCTTTCTCGATTACTCATATTACACTGCGACAACCTCCGGCGGCTCTGGCCTGTCTTGCTCCGGCCAGTGTCGCTCGATAAACACGACGATTCAGGCGCGGCGACTCATCGCTGTGATTCTTACGTGTCTCGTCGCAATTATTTATAATATACGTTCGTCCGTATATCGGGAACCTTCGCGCGAATGAGATAACGAAAAGAAAAGAAACTGGAGTAAATTAAAGCGCAGTCACAATACGAGGATATATACACCTTTTATGAAGTATCCTTCGAGTTTCTTCCGTTTTTCTCCACGTGTCTTTTAGGTATTTCTTGTTTGATTCTTTCACGTGGTCGAAAATAGCGGTGAATCTTGAATAGGAACAGCATGTGTTGAGTGGTGGGCGTACAATTTATTTTGATTAAGTAAGTTTCCTGTTCTTCTTTTCTCTGTTTAATTCTGTCACTTCTGCTTTTTCTTTGACAGTAGCGTCTCCAGAATATTATATTTTTTCTTTCTCTTTCTGCGTGATATTACTTGCTATAATACTAAAAGCAACTGTTATATTTCTTACTTATATCGTAGTGTTAATATCTTGATTATTATCTATACATATAGAATATTTATATTTATTGAAAAATATTACTGAAGTATAGAATATAATTTGTAGAAATATACAAATACTAGAATAAACTTATAACTAAAGGCAAAATACAAATATTAGAAGTTTTCTGTCTTTATTGATATCCTGATATGTTAAATTATTTGTTTTAAATATAGACAATATGTTATAGATTTGTATGATATATAAAACATATGAGAACGCATATATATACATGCATGAAACTATACTTAGTCTTCTTAGATTTCTCACACTGACAACGTAATTCTCACATCCTGCCATTGTTACTTCTGCTCTGCTTTAATTAAGATAACCATCAGAAAGAAACCCCTATTTTAAAGAAGTGCAGAAGATATATACACACAATTGTACAATTATAGTTTTGTTACAGTTATTATGTAACGGGAAATATAGATTTCTGTAAAAAAATAATACAATTAATAATAAATAAATGTCACATATATTTATGTTTATAAAGTCTAAATATTGCGAGCACAAAGTTCTGTTACTGTACATTTTTAAGATGTGACAAATATATTTAGTGACCACTTTATCTTAATTGAAGGTAATTATCTCAAAAATGTCGAAGAAGCCAGGAGCTACCCAAGCAATGCATAAGGTTATAATGGTTGGAAGTGGAGGTGTTGGAAAGTCTGCTCTGACGTTACAATTCATGTATGATGAGGTAAAATAAAAAAACAAAATAACTTAAATATATTTTAATCATGAAGAATGTCCGTTTATTATTATTAACTTAACAAAGAAAGATGTGATTTTTACCATTTTAAGTATCTAATGATTAGACATTGGATTCTTATGCAATTTCATATTTATTTAGAGAGCAGTTTGGAAAGTAATATCAAAATATAAATTTTTCTTATTAAAAAAGCATTTAAAAAATGCATATTTATTTATACATATTGTGCATATTTTCATATTTGTGCAAATTTGTATATTTTATGCATGTCTGCAAAAAATATCTGCATAAAAATCCGATGTCTACTAATGATAAACGTTATCATACTTTAAGCATTTTATTTTTAAATATTATTACATTAGAAAAATATTTCTGATAATTTTAATCGTAATATTAAAATCAGTTTGTTGAAGATTATGAACCTACAAAAGCAGATTCCTACAGAAAGAAAGTTGTATTAGATGGAGAAGAGGTACAAATAGATATCCTGGATACTGCAGGACAAGAAGATTATGCAGCGATTCGTGACAATTATTTTCGTAGTGGGGAAGGGTTTCTCTGTGTATTTTCGATAACAGAAGATGATAGCTTTCAAGCTACACAGGAATTTAGGTCAGTAAAATTTGATAAAATTAATCACTAGTTTTATGTTATTGGACAAAATTTTAATATATGACAATTATAATTGATTATAAATATATTATTTGATCATTCCACATGAATAGAAAAAAATCTGTTTTCTTTTCTATAGAGAACAAATTCTCAGGGTAAAAAATGATGAGAACATTCCATTTTTATTAGTGGGAAATAAAAGTGATTTACAAGAAAAAAGGAAGGTTAGTTTAGCCGAAGCTCAAGCAAGATCTCAACAATGGGGTGTTCCTTATGTGGAAACAAGCGCTAAAACAAAAGAAAATGTAGACAAGGTAAAATGCTGATTATGTATAATTTTTATTTAATTTTATTAAATGCTACATATATATAATAAATATTTTATATATGTAATTTTTTCTTATATTGTCTTTACTTAAAAAAATAATTGTGATGTTACTTTCCGATTCTGACTTTTTCTCTATTTCGTTTTTAGTAAAATAAAAAAACTTTTGGGATTAACTTTTTTTTTATAGGCTTTGTGGTAGTATTGTTGAATTAGATGTTTTACTACAGAACACTTTATCTCATCAAGCATATTCTACATACATACATACGTACATTAATACATACATACATACATACATACATACATACATACATACATACATACATACATACATACATACATACATACATACATACATACATATATACATTCATATTAATGTAATTAAATTATCAAAAATAGTAGATGTATTTTCGTATATATTTCTTGTTGCTTTCACTTTCACCCTCAATGTAATGTACCGCATATGAATCGATTGCACGAAATATGCATTTTTAAATAGGCTTAATTGCAATCTATGTATATTTATATACATTGTTATATCACCATGTATTGTGCTATTGCTTATATGCGCACAATTCTCATTTTCTTCTCTTACATATATGAAAAACAT